TGCTCTTCCTGAACAATTTCTCGCAGACCCCCGCAAAAGACGGCCTATAATGTTTTATATATATATATTTCTAGGTTGGTACGCAGCGAGTGGGCAATTTAGAACTTTGGCCGTGTTTTGCCCAAACCCGTCGAGACTTTTCCCTTTCTTTTCAACTGTGACACATGGTTTTGTTTACTGCTGCTTGTCATTTTTGTGTTTCCGTCCTTTCCGCGCGGGTTTGGTGGCATAAAAGGACGAGCGGGTGATTTTTCTTAACAAACTGCTTTGGCCTGCAGATTAGTCCGACTAATAATATCAGCAAAAAGATAAAAAAAAATGCTTACAGCATTTAATGTTTCGAATTTGTATATAAACCAGGTTGAAAGTTAGAATAACGAAGAAAACACGTTGGAACAAGGTTAGAATTTATAAATAAACCAGAATTCATTTGCTTAAGATCCTATTGTCTGTGTGCAAATCAATTATAAGCTAGATCACAAGGTGCATAAACGGGATGTGGTGGTCTGTGATACACAGTGGCATAGCCAGGATTTTTTTTTCGGGGGGGGGGGGGGGGGGGGGGATGTTCGACGGCATTCCTCCCTCCCCCCCCCAAATGACGCAGGATGAGCTCGGTGGTTCGGACGATTAGGGAGGCGCGGTGAAAGGGCCCATGAAAAGAAAAAAAAAACTTTTTTTTATTAATAGTCTGGTTCGGACACCCGTGTCAAAAATAAAATTTACGCGACAAACAAATGATTTAGGAGAAATACTGACTGCGAGAGATTTATTTGAAATTCTGCGCGCAAAGTCCATGACGTCACGAAATGGTCATTCGCTCTTTCGACCTCAACAATATGGTCTTTCGCTTTTTCCACCTCTTCTTCACGTGCCCGAAATGCCGAGAGAAAACAAGTGGAAAGGAGGTGACTACCGACTAAATCGCGTCTCGCACCGTCAATATTGCTCTAAAAAAAAACAAAAAAAAACACATAAACTTAACTTTTTGGCGCGCGTGTCCCAACCGGACTGTTAAAAAAAAAAAAAGCTTTTCTTTCTTTTTAGGTTTTTTTAAGTTTAAACGGGTAAAGCTGGGCATTGTCATTTTTCAAAACGGAGCAGGATTCGCTTACAGGTATGCGGGCGTGGTGGCTCACTGCTCCACTGTCGTCGTAGTTGCGGCCCACCAACTTCAAAAACTTCCTCACAGCACGCAACTCCCCCGCTTCTTGAGGTAGAACTGCATTACCAACGCGTGGAGGCCAGACAAAACACAAAGATAGCTATACTGCCACAAGAAATAAACCAGCAAAAAAAAAAAAAAAAAAAAAATCTCGACGCTGAAAAATAAGAGCAAAAATCCAAATCTATTATAAAGGGGCCCTGCAATCATATTTAAGCGTCTACCTTTTTTGCGGTTTCCACGTCTCTTGAGGTTCGGGCAAGCCAGCAGGCACGGAGAGGGTAACTAAATATCAGTGCGTCATATTTTCACCGGACGACGCGGAAATCTCCTTCATCTACGAGGGCGACCCGCAGTGCCGAAAGCGCGCGAAATGTGACGTCTTTGGTCCTGGGCTTACTACTGGTCAGAGCCGCTAATAGCTTCTTTTTAGTCGAAATACAAAATATAAGTGGCGCGAGCCGTTTCAATTTTTTTTTTTTTATAAAAGTAGTTTTAGTTCAGTATTTTGGATCAGAAAAGAAACAAGTGCAGTTTATAGAGTGCGGAAACAAGAGATGACCCGTCGACATACCCGCCGCCAAGCGGTGGAAAAGGCGGCGCATACTAGAAAGGTGTAGTGGGATCAGGCACGGACGAACGGCGAGTGTAGAAAGGTCCCGCATGTACGCGGCGGCGCTTCAGTCGAAGATCCGACCGGTTCCGAGCGTTCCGAACGCCTTGGGCGCGCAGCTTTGGCTTGTGGTTTGGGCCTTTGGCTTTATGGCAGCGCGAAGTGGCTCTCGTTCTGAACTGACGTTTTTGCTGTCGTTTGTGGCCAATGAAGTGGCATGCCGAATTATGGTTTAATCGCGCAGCAAATGCAATGTGAGCCGCCCTGGCTGCCCGCTTCATACAGCCTATCCGGAACACGCTTTAGTGGCACCCTCTCGAGCCGTTGACACGGAGTGCGGCAGCCCTGAGCGCTCGCTGAGCTCACTACGCCTCCTCTAGTTCACGGCCACTGAAGCAACCAAAACCGTCATGAAGAAGGTTATGTTTTGCTTGTTTTTGTAATTTTAATTTGCCTATAATTTTTAAAATGAAGCAAAATTAGAGAAAAGAAAAGTTCAATTAAGCTACTACGTTCAGTACGCTCATGTCCGGTGCAAATTAAAAACCATTAAGAAGTCCTTGAAGGGCCCCTTTAAAGGTTTAACAAATTCCTGCTACAGAACCAGATGCCGAAGGAAAGAAAGTTTTATCTTTACTAGGCCGCTTTATCTTGCAGTGTGGTCCAAAGACAGCAGCAGTATATCCTCGGGGCCATGAGAAGTTATCAGTCCGAACTCGTCGTTCCGTCATTCGGAGAAATGACATGACACAGCAGCACACATAAACACGCAAACCACACGCCGAACGTGGTAATGAACTTGACTATCCTTGCGCCTCTGCGTAATGAGAATATGAAGGCTTGTCTCCTCGGAGTTTCTGATGTTCAGTTTAATCTAATTAGAAATTGTATCCGATGCCACCTCGATATGCAAAGCAGAAAGCAAGACGGACCGTCATCGCATCCGTGAGCGACTCGATAAAGGAAAATTTCACAAAGTGAAGGAGACTTCGCCAAAATAGGATAATTTTAGGCGTCCAATGACCGTCTGGTCTGCGCTAAAGGCGGTCGCCCTCTGTCCGGAGGCCCTATTTCAGGACGTCCAGCGTCTCCCCAAGATCCTAGCGATTTTGCCCGTAACAACGGTAGAAGCTGATTGCTCGTTCTCTTCACTATACGACGGTTGAAAACACACCTGAGAGCGTCCACTTCGAATAAGCGACTGCTCGGTCTAGTGCCTTTGAATGTTCAACGCGACATTGAAGTTCAAGCGGAGAACGTCGTGGATATCTTTTTTTTTTTTTTTTGCCGCGAACGCAGGCGGCAGCATCTTGAAATGTGTAGGCGCTTGGCATGAATGAGATGATAAAGAGAGCCTGGAAATTGCTTTCTGAAATAACTAGTCACAGTTATCTTCTTATTCGTGGTAATTTCTAGTCGAAAGCACGTAATTCTGATCAGCACCCGTTGCTTACAGTGCAATCGTTTTTACAATTCATTTAATATTCCTTATATCACCTGGCATTGTTTCATATTATCACCATGTGTTCGATTTATAATGTTCACTTTCGTTTGATTGAACTGTGTAATTCAGTAAAAATAGTTTATTATGCTTTGCCTTAAAATTTCCGTCCCTCACCCCACAAATGTTTCAAAATATCCGTGCTATATATATATACTGTGATCAAGTTCCGCATCCCTTCGAATAAACATGAATGAAGCAATATTGTATATTTTATTAATTTGAGCATTTTCTACACTACTAGCATTTTTCCTGAAAGCATATAAGTTGGAGATAGTCCGCGTTTCCCCGTTGATCCGTGCCTCGTGCAAAACCGACTGCGTAAGCAGGGCAGCGAGCGGGCCCCGGTGCAGGCGCGGAGGGCAATCCGACATGGGTGGAACCCCCGGTACACAGAAAGAATGGGAGAATAGTATCCTTAAAAATGTACTGCGCCCCCCCACCAAAAAAGAAAAGAAAAACGGAGTTTTGGATCTGCCCTTGCCCCGGTGGGAGGTAGCTTTGGCATTTTGGGGGGGGGGGGGGGGGGGGGGGGGGCGGTTTCGACCTCCCAAAGCTTCCCCCCCCCCCCCCTCCTTCCTCTGCCTACGCCACTGGTGCTACATCATGTGCCAAAAACTAGACGTTTATAAGGTAACGCCCCACCTTGGAATGATTTCACCATAAAGAAAAATGGTGAAATCACTGCAAGGTGGTCGTATCTCACCACAAAATTTTTTTCCCTAGAGCCGGGGTCAAAACAGATTCAAACGCGAGTCAGCACGAGATCTGAGCTTCGTATGCCGCTGGCCAACGAGTTCAAGGAGACACTTGGCACGCGGCATTTGAACCACGGATGTCGTGGTGACTGATAACTGCAGAATGTAAATGAACAAGCCCGGCTTAAACTTGAAAGATACTTCTAGTACAAGCAAACACCGCAATATGACCCGCAAAAATTGCGTAATAAATTTAAAAATATTAAAAGGACAACTCGGACTGCACTATATAGTATCAAACCTCGTGCTCAGGCTCAAAAACTTACGTAAGGCAGCGGGCAAAGATAAAAAAAAAAAAAAAAAAAAAGTGCAGCGTGATTATTGCTTTTTTTTTTAGGGAAAACCGAATTTTTCATGTACGGGGATAACTTTTTTCTGGAGTTTTATACACGCTACAGATTAAAGTCAAATCTATCAAAAGCCGCGCTTGCAGCGGTAGCCCCCACATGTCCAGATAAATATCTTAAATTAAATAAGCATCACAACTTGTCTATCTACTTCCCCAGAACAGCTGTTCACCGTTCTACCAGAACACACCAAAATTTGTGAGTAGTAGTTGCAGTAACCCGACGAAACAAGACTTTCTTTGACTCTTCTGCCTCGCGCCATGCTCTCGATGACTGGGTTGAAAGCGGCTCTAGCGGCTCCCCGCGGAGAGACACCGCCTCCTGGTGTTGCTCCCTCTCTTTTTCCGATTACGCCATCGCCCCTTGCCCTCTTCGTACTTTTTGTTCCTAGTTTCTGGCCTAGGTGGCGTAAGCTACCGCCCGGTATAAAGGGTAGAGCGTTAGCATTCACCCATCCGTGCTGTTTGTATTTTACACAAGAGAATAAAAGTTTACACTGTTGTTAAATGAGTGAAATCAATTTCAATCAAATCATTCAAACTCGGGGGTGAAACCGAGTTTATTATATTTAGTTTCCGGCTTCATTTGAGGTCAATAGCTTTCGAAGGGTATAAAGTCAAAGCCAATCGAATCCAAGTAGTTGTTTTTCTACGGGACGCTTTGTCAGCACGGTGGGCGCGTGCGGTCTACGTTCTACCTATCAAAAGAAATTGCCTTCGAGGTTGTTGTTTCTCCTGGTATAAATGACCGAAAATAACTGCGTCATCTCTCTGGCACCGTTGAGCGCCCTGCGATGGTGTCGCGCTTTAAGCTGATCACTTTCGACGCCACCAACACTCTTCTACGCTTCCGAGAGTCAGTTGGCCAAGCTTACTCTGGCGTCGCGCACATGTACGGCGTCAGCTCCGATCCGAAGCGCTTGAACGCCAGTTTCAGGACCGAGTGGAAGAAGATGATCGCCGAGCACCCGAACTTCGGCTGCAGCAGCGGCCTCACCTCGCAGCAGTGGTGGTCAGAGCTCGTCCGCAGGACATTCCTACTCTCTGGGTGCAACGCCGCCGACAGCCTTATGACAGTGATCGCAAGTCACCTCTACGAATCGTACAAAACGTCCAACTGCTGGACACCGAACAACGGTAGCGCAGACGTCCTCGAGAACCTGAAGATATCCGGGCACAAGCTGGGCGTCATCTCGAACACGGACGAACGGCTAGACTGCATTTTAACGCAGCTCAAACTTCGCCACTACTTCGACTTCGTGATAGCGTCATCGGTGGTGAAGGTGGAGAAACCGTCGAAGGACATCTTTTCGCTGGCGCTGTTGTGCGCCAGCAGTGAGCGACCAGTGAAACCCGAAGACGCCTTGCATGTCGGCGACAGCGTGGAGTTGGATTACCTCGCCTCTAAGGCAGCGGGGTGGAGTGCCTTGCTCTTGGTCAACCACGACGCCGACGCGAAGAAAGTGGCCGCTAAGAATTCTGTAGAACCTTCTCACGTTATTTACAGGTTGAGCGACGTAGTCAAAAAAGCGTTTGAGGTTGAATCTTACCAGGCTACTGAGTTTCAAAAGTGAGCTTCTGGCCTTTTGGCAGTTTCCAACAAGACCTTACGGGTTCAGTTACTTCGGTTATGTTTAGGTTCGCCTGAGTGCACAACATAATCTTTCCCAGTTATGGAAATTGGTGCTCCTGACATTTCACGAAGGTCCTCCTATGGTATTTCAACATCTTTTTACAGCAATAGCTGTTATGGGCTTGTCCTACCGGTTTTGCGACGGCGTGAGTGTAAACCAATTCAGTTTCCTCACTAAATTTGGCAGGAACATTGATGCCTGTGACCCGACGTCGTGGGCCCTATGGACAAATTCAGGTTCCCCGCTAAATTTAGTGGAAAACACAAATTCAGACTCTCCATTACATTTAGCGGAAAACGCCACGTGACCTTCCGTAAAATCCTGAGATGCCCCAGCCCCAAAAGATAGCCCACCCCTATTTTTGGCTTGATTTGTTATGTTTTTAAACACTGAAAGATAGCCCACTCTTAGTAATAGTAGTGTTGGAATCAATGGTGGCCTTAGTGTGAATGTGGCTAGTGAGCTGTGGTGAAATATAAGCAAATGTTGCTGACTGGGAAGTGCATTCATCTTTGCTTCGTTGCCCCTTGCCACCATAACAAGCTTGGAAGGGACACGACCGAAAAATAGCAATTCTTATACTTTTCTTGGTTGTACTCGAAAGTTAGCCCACTCCATATTTTCACCCGATTTGCTCTTGATGTTAGGTGAACTATCTCTCGGGATTTTACGGTATGCACCAATTCACTTTCCCTGCTAAATTTAGCACAAAAATTTACGTCGCATGACCTACGCACAAATTCTGTTTTCTCGCTAAATTTGTTAAGAAAATTGATGGCAGGTCACCTGACGTCATGGGACCTAGAGACATAAATAGCTTCCCCGCTAGATTTGGTTGAAAAAGTGACGTCATATAACCTATGCACCAATCCAGTTTCCCGTAATCATGCCATAGGATCGTCCCCCAATTTATTTTTAGCTTGGCCCTTGTGACAGGCTTGAGCTAAGCTAGTTGGTTCATAGTTCACTTAAGGCCAGCTGAACTAGAAAAAACATACACATAAAGAAAAGACCATTCACACCGCTGGACTAACAACCGATTTTCTTTTTCCTCCTCTTCTACAAGACATTTATGGTGCTTTGTATGTTCTTCCTGGGACATATTTTTGCCATGAAGATGGCTTTAAAGTACCACTGCTCATTTTCAAAAGGTTTTGTGAAAGGTGCGGCCAATACTTTCAACTTTATTATGGAGGAAATTCAGAATCTCCAAGAGGGCTGTTGGTGTAATTAGAGTTTGTATGGCTGCAGGCAGTGGCGTCACAAAGGGGGGGAGGGGGGGGGGGGGCGGATGGATTGCCTTGGGTGCGGCGCTCGGGGGGGTTTTGCGGCGGGCCACGTGAGCGGGGGGTCGCATAGGACTACCGCCCCGGGTGCCACTCGCCCTAGTGACGCTACTGGCTGCAGTTGCATTGTGGTGTTCATTAAAACCTGAAATTCCATGGAAAGGGAATTCTCTTGGAGCCAAGCAAAGTTGGTAACCACCTGCTTAGCTTAACCGAACATACCTTGAAGCGGAAAACGCCACGTGACTTAGCTTAACCGAACATACCTTGAAGATGGCAGAGGCTGGTAAAAGTACCTGTGCCGTCTCCTAATCAGAAATATGCCAAGGGTCCTATTTTTGTCACTGTGAGAGTGAGATATAATTTGACTTTCTTGGAGCAAGCAAAGATATTACTAGCAGATGGTTTGTTTGCTAATTCAAATGAAGATTGGGGTTTCTCTACTATGAAAGGCCATTCAAACTCAGTGCTGCAGTAAAGTAACATTGAAAGCAACCTGAAATTGGAAGATCTGCTTCTGCTGTTTGACAGTGGAAGGGATCAACAACCCTTGCTTCATTTGTAAAGAGCAGAGTTCTGCTGTGTGCAAGCTGACGTCGACCAGTGGAGAAACCAGCTCTCGGGACAAGCCCCATCAAAGGCTGCGACACATCTCATCATCTGTGTGTTCATGAGAAGTTCTCACCAAAATACTGCCTAAGCGTAGACTTACAAACGAAAAAGAAAAATTCTTTATTAGCCGATAAAGGCTTGTGCCCAGCAAAATGCTGCGACATGACCACCTCTCAACAGCCGAGAAAGCTTGGCCGTCACCAGAGACCAAAATCGAGCTCCAGGAAATTGGATGCCTGTACTACAATCACTGCTATGATGTGTAGTCTCTGTTGAAAGATTTAGCAATGTAGTTCCTCGCTTGCTTGCTCAATTGCTCATATGAAGAGGTCCAAAACCGTTGCGCATGTGTTTATACTGCCACACGTTAGTCAGCTACAATGGGTGTCTGGCAGCTCAGTCTTAGATGAGAAATTTAGCCTGTGCAGTACAACTGCTAGCCTAGGGTTTTGTATTGCTACTGATGCACTGCACAGTAGTAATATATGGCAGCACGCCAGTACGATAGTCATCCAGTTTCAAACGGGCAGAGGTCGGGATTGAACCCAGGATTCCTGGGTTCTGCAGTGCGAGCTTCCGCTCCACGCTCTCAGAGTTGCAGCGCTCCAACACGCTCAGCCACCGATCCCCCAAAGAGGCACAGAACTCTACACAGTTAACATGAATGTGCACTCGACAATTCTCTTCATTTATCTCCCACAGCTGGGAAGCGGTCGTTGGCGATACCAGTGTTGTGGGATGCTGTCATGTTAGGAACAGACTCGGGCAGAGCACGGTGTCGGACACTGGACTGTATTGTAATTACTTACAAAACAAGCGCAGGGTGTCTCTCTTGGATGCCCAGCCTTAACCGTGCGGTTGTTGCTTTCCATCGTGCTTTGTGTGTACGTCCACGCCCTTGGCTCGCGGGAAGATGCCAAAGTACTATCAAAGGTAGGAAGCCTGTGCCAGAGGTTGGACAACTGAAAGACTTTTTTGCAATTCTTATCTTATCGTTGACAGTGCTGTAATAATGCAATATACTCCGAAAGAAGGAAGGAAAAAAGAAGACATACTGTCGAGAACCGGTTATAATGAAGTAGTGGCTACAGCAAAGCATCACAATTTCCCATTTCCTTTTGAACTTTGTTAAAGTCGGTTATAACGAAATAGCAAATATAGCGAAGTGATTTCCGATTCCCTTTGACTTCGTTGTAACCGGTCTCGACAGTACTCCATCATGTTCAGACTCACTTTGTATTATTATTCTTTTATCTCCCAATGTTTTGAAGTATGATCATTTAGAACCACTAGCCTGTGCTCCTCCATTGCAGGATGAACATATTGATTCAGTGTCCATGTGTATATTAAGCCCGATTCAGACAACTGCATTGGTTGTGTTCAGAGCGACTGAAACGACAGCAAAGATGGTCACCAGGACGACCGTTCCCCGTACGTGCCAAACGACGCAAGAGGTAGCTTTGTGAAGCAATCACGAGTTACCGCTGTACGAATGGTTGCTGTGAATGTAACCGACACGTATGCGTGAAGCAGCTTGCACCCTCACAGTTACCGCAATGCCAATCAACCACCCGCCCCTCCCCCTGCATACGACGAGTATGTTTGGTTTTTCGTGGGCTCTTTTGTGGCTCGCATCCTCATGCGTGTACGTTAGACACTTTTTCGATACTGCTACCACTTTATGCTGCCTTCTCCCGCAACTTTGTCGGCTACCGACAGGGTGCCTGCAATAAGGCGAGCCGTGTCCCACTAGAGCGACAGACAGAAACAAAATACAGCGACAAGCCTCAAACCCACGCAGCATGCTCGCGATGGTACCTTTGGCAGGCGTTTAGTCCTTCGGTGCTCATAAAATAAGCACGAGCGATTGCAAGCCTGCCAAAGATACCCTCGCGTGCATGATGCTCGTGTTTGAGCTTAGCCTCCTTTATTCTACAAAGCCTCTCAAGTCGCGAAAGACTCTGGTTTGAGGCTTGTTGTTGTCTTTTGTTTCTGTATATCGCTCTAGTGGGACACGGGCATTAGAGGACACAAAGACGACGAGATCTTCAAACTGCAAGGCAGTACGTGGAGTTGTGGCATTTTCCCAGGAACTTTGCAAGTATCGCTTCTGAAATCGCCGCTTTAAAAAGCACCAAAAATGTGTACATAGATCTTCTATTTCTTGGGACTTTGAAAAGGTTACAATTGCGGCACTAATATTGAATGGATCGTTGTGCAGAATGCATGTCACTTGCTCCACAACAAAGCTGCTAGTCAAGGTCAGTGAAGTAATTAACCTAAAACTACATGCAAGCACCTGTAGCTTGACTAGGAGCTCCTGCTCGTACACTTGAGGTACATACCAAAAAAGGGTCTTTGTGCTATGCGGAGCACAAATTCGTCTGCTTCTTGCACAGAAGTTGTGATGTCAAAACGCCAAGCTCTTATTGGCTGACTGAAAAAAAAAAAAAAAAATAGAAGGTAGACCTCAAGGCATCTAGCATTGAGGTCTACCCACTATCCTTTCAATCAAAGACAATAAGAGCTTGGATGTCGTTCTGATGTCACCACAACTGCGCAAGAAGGTGACCTGTGCAAAAACAATGCATAGCATTGTTTTTGAAATGTTCATCCAATTCCCAGCATGGAAGCTAGGCTTGGATGTCTGTGGGTAGAGCCACACCCACAGCCGCCACCTTCGCACCGTTACTGCTTTAGGGTTAAATAAAGTAAAAAAGGCCGAAGGTTATGAGCACCATTTTTTTTTATTACTGCCCTGTTGATGTTGCTCAATGGACCTTTTGCAGAAATATTGGTTCGAGTAAATGAATTCGGTACACTCGTTCTTTTCCTTCTGGCTGATAGAGAGGGAAGATGGTTTCTTTGTATCAACTGCGAGACTGAATACAAGCCACGATGTGGACAAAAGCAAAATTTGGGGGAGCCATATCTAGGTTACAGCAGTTCAATGTGCAAACGTGATGTAGCAGACGTTTTGAGTCTCGAATGGGTGAGAGGCTTAGCAAGCGAGTTGTTATCCAGTCACTTACTGTGAAGTACCGATGAAGCGCTTACTCAAAATTTGGAGATAATCGCAAGAAAGTGGGGGATGGGCGCTTCTTATGTCACAAGTTTTATCTATACTTGTACTGCACCTATTATTTCAGATGTGAACATTTAGGGATGGGCGCTTAGTGTGGAATGGGCGGATGCTCAGTATCTTATGCTAGTCTCGAACCCAGTCGCGCGTCTAAGTGGCAGAACATTGTTGGAAAAAGGTAGATTTCATGCATTTTCGCTTGTGGCTGCGAACGGTTGCAAAGCTGCCATTAGTTTACTTGAATGACTTGTTTTTATTTTCTGTTGTGTTAAACGGCTCCTTGTAGTTTGTCAATAAACTCCCAGACATGTTTGTTTTGAAAAAAATCAGAACCTCACGGGATAACGTTTATTTTTTTCAAATAGCAAAGGGTGCTAATGTAACGAACAATTCTAAGTCAGCGAAATGTGGTAAACAAGATTTGTCTGTTTTTCTCTTTCTTACAGCGAGTTTGTTTCACACACACTGGCACCGTTCGAGTTCTCTCCCAGAATGCATTGCACTCGCGGAGTGTTGCACGGAGAACTGGCCTCAAACAAACTTGCCAAATGCACCGAATGCAAAAGATTGATGCTGGCACCATCTATGTTGTAGAAAGAGTACCAACCTCAAACCGAAACTAGCGCATTTCTCTTCGACGTGATGGTGGGAATGCGAGAGCGCAGTTGCTACCAACGTTTATCTATAAATGTTGGTCGCTGCAACCTACAGTTTTTATTTGCGATGAATTCAACCAACTCGGCTGTCGCATAGATATTCACAGACAACGTAAATTTCTGCAACCAGCTGACTACAAAGCAGCTGGGGTTTACACTGAAGAAGACTGATGATGTCCGCGCAGACTCTTTATCCGTTTGAGCATGGTATTATGCGTAAACCACTGCAAGGGTATGGCTTAAAACGAGTCTGTTGGAATATGCAGCAAAACGTTTCGTGGGACTTTCGATTTCGATCGTAGTTACAGGTGGATCAGATTTTAGCCTTGGTGAGGGCGCCGAGAACGAGAGCTTACTCAAAACGAAATACGATGGGGCAAGATAGCTGACGTTGGTAAATGTTAAGCATGATGTTGCCCAAGCGTCGCGTAAAGTCGCTAAGTTTAGCTTTCTCGGATGCATATTGGGCAGTCAGATTTCTGCTGGGGGGTCTTTGTCGACAAATGTTCAATTTTTCATTCGCACATGGATGGTGATAAAGATCTCGGGGGGCCACTGATGCATTTGTTTTGAGCATTTCTTTACCAATGGTATATTTCAGCGTCTGTATGGCAACAGAGCAGCTAAAAACTTTCAAATAAAGCACGGGTTGTCAATTGCTTCTTTCATAAAATAGCAGACGCTCACAATCAAGCTCGTGTTTGATTCTGTTAACCGTGGGACACAATTCCTATCAGAAAAACTTTTTTTCTTTTTTTTTTCTTTTCAGTTTTGTTGTACGAATGACGCATCGTAGCAGACGACCCCTTGTC